GGCAGCTTTGTAGGAAATGATATCGTGAAACCAATAATACCGCCACTCTCTCCTCCTCCCCTTCATCTCCTTTGCTAGCGTTCTCTCTGAGAGGATGTGCTAAAACCCATTTTGGCTTCACCTTCCTCTCAGCCCCTTTAGATGTAGATAAATGACCTGCCGCTGAAGTCTACACAGTGGTAATAACTAAAGAAATGATGCACCTCACTCTCTTATCAGACTGCTCAGCTACGCCGGCTGGCTGCATTTTCCGGGAGCCAAGCCAAATGCTTCTCTTTTTAAGGCAATGCTTCCAGTTTTCCGTATCAGAGCGCATGTCTGGAAAGCAAAGCTGGGATGGAGTTTTTCCTGTGTCATCGCATAAACTGTGCGGTATTTGTTAGTCATGTTAGGTCTTGGTTCATTTTGGAGTGTTTTTTCCTGGCTTTTGATGCAAGAATTTGATGAATTTGTTATAGATGTTTTTGTTTCAAGTCTTTATTTCTCTGGTTCCCTTGGAGTACACTTACCACTGAATTCAAACCAGGTGCTTTGGGTTATTTTGTGGTGGTGAAATACCCAGTCTGAATAATTCAGATGTTTTCCCAAGTGATTTGAGGGTCAATGACAAATGAGTGTCAACAATAAAGAAGAAAAGTTCGTTTTAAAATCTAGTTCAGAACACATGTGCCAAGTTCTTAGAAATGCACTCCTTATATTCGTGTTGATTTCATATGGTTATGATCAACTTTGATACCATTAAAAAAAGGATTTTTAATGTTTTTTTTTTTTAAAGAAGCCTCTTCTGCTCATCAAGGCTGCAATTATTCCATTAAAAAATACAGAAAAAAACAATAATATTGTGAAATATTATTACAATTTAAAATAGCTGTTTTCTATGTGAATATATTGTAAAATGTAATTTATTTCTGTGATGCGCAGCTGAATTTTCAGCATCATTACTCCAGTCTTCAGTGTCACATGATCTTCAGAAATCATTCTAATATTCTGATTTATTATCAATGTTGGAAACAGTTAAGTTAAAAAGAACAACATTTATTTAAAATACAAAGCTTTTCTAACAATGTAAGTCTTTGCTATCAGTTATCAATTTAACACATCCTTGCTGAATAAAAGTATTAATTTCTTTCAGAAACGAAAGAAAAAAAATGTTCTGACCCCACATATTTTTTAACAGTATATTGTTACAAAAGATTTCTATTTAGAATAAATGCTGTTCTTTTTAACTTATTATTCATCAAAGAATACTGAAAAAAGTTTCCAAAAAAAAATTAAGCAGCAAAAACAACATTGAGACATTAACCTTGAGAGACTTGAGCATCTTCAGGTGTCCTGCTATATTTCATTTTTCTTCTCTCACTATTCAATTCTCACTATTAACTAGCGTGCATATTACTAGCATATTAGCTGTTTATTAGTACTTATAAATTGCACCGATTGCAATTTTCTTGGCTGATTCTGATTTCCAATATTTTTTGGTAAATGTGACCTGCCGATAATGATTTTTGACCATTCCGATTTACTTTCTAAGAACTATAATTGACAGCATACAAATAAAAATCCAGTTTTATACTGTAAAATTTACAATTTTTGGCCGTAAATGTGTTTACAGTTTTTCTGTATTTTTTACAAAGTTATTCTGGCAACCATAGCTGCCAAAATTATTTTGTAAAAACGACAGAATTTTTTTTACAGTGTAACCTAACCTTAACAACTACCTTACTAACTATTAATAAGCAGCAAATTATTGAGGCAAAAGTCGTAGTTAATAGTAAGAATTGGACCTTTAAAATAAACTGACCAAATTAATTAAAATATCTTGTACATCGGGGTGAAAAATGAGGATCCTGTCATTAGCCCTTGAAGGTCTGTCTGTCTTTCTGTCCAGTCTGCATGTATCTACAAGTGACCATCAGGTCCCTACTTTACGGAACATAGATCTACTCATCTGTCCTCAAAAAAAAAAATGCAGGAGCCTACGGCGAGATGAGCATCTGTGAAGTGTACTAAAACTAGATTACTGTTGTTAAGGCAGTTTTCATACACTTTAACGGTCTCGCCCTTAATGCAAATGAGGCTCAATGTAATCCTGTGTGTGTTGCAGTACTGTCACTTGAGCACACACTAGTTCAGTTGTGCAGTCTAATAGCACTAATTGTGTTCGAGTCTAATGCAGTTGCACGGATAGACCAGCATGCAGGACATGAATACTAACAGGCAGTCCAGCACCTTCATGATGCTTGATAGATGCTGTGCGTTTGCATTGAGATGCATTGAATGCTTTGCTAAGTAATTGTTTTTTAGCATGTTAATACACGAGACGAATCTCTAGAGATCGCGCAGGTTTTCCTATAAGGCTCACCTGGTTCAGCCTCTCTATAGGAGGGGAAATTGAAATGTCTATTTGAAGTTCATTGCCATAATTATTTTCCTATTGGATCTGGGCTGATTGTGCATCTCGTCTTCCTTGTTATAAAGGAAACGATTCTGTAATCAAAAAGCTCATTTAATCAGATGCATTAAACAGTTTGAAATTGCCCTGAGATCTCTGGCTTCATATATTTGCTGTGATTAGACCCCGGACAATGGAGAGGAGTAAATGCATAGATCCAGTGGGTGATGGATATGGAAGAATTACTGGATGTTTGCATTAGAGAACAGGTAGAAAGTTTAGCAGGCTTTCATGCTTCTGTCAGCCCCTGCTGGTAGATTCTTTAACTACACCATCTGGACTCATAAAGCATGTTGCTGCTTTGAAAATCATTCATAATTATCTGTGTATTATAAGTATGTGCTGATATTTCATATACATTTTAGTAGTGCCTGACTTGACCGATTGACCAGTGCATCAGATTCCCAAACGAGTGAATCTTTTGAGCTGGTTCATTTTAGTGAATCAAAAATGTACAGCAAGTCATTTTTTAAAAGAATTGTATTGACTTCTATGTATTTTTGAAACCTGAAATTCTCATTGCCTTAAGATGTCTGTTTGCTAAATTATAAGTACGGTCAAGGCTTTTTCACACATGGAATAATAACTATAAAGATAGCGATAACTATATTAGCATCGACAACAACGGACCATATTGATGTTTATAAGCTCGTGCTGCATTCATATAATTGCTTTAATTGGTCAATCTTGGGAGGATTCTGATTGGCTGTCATTGTTTTTATCATTCATCACCTGGAAAAAAATCGTTCTGAAAGTAATTCCAGTGGATTGTTCTTGTTATCATTACAGCTGAGGTGTGGACTTTCCTATTCTCGTAGAATTAGAATGATAATTAAAACGTTATAGTTATTGTCCTTAGTCTGAACAGGCCTTAAGAATTGCGTTTTCCCCCCCAATGATTTATTCCTCAAATACTTAAATGTTCAACAGAACAGTTATGTCAACAGCAAACTATACCTATCCATCTACATTTTTTTATTTATTTTTTAATAAAATTTATACTAGCCTCTGTTTCTGTGAAGCTAGCACATGGTTTAATGTAAAGGTTTAATAAGGATTTTTCCCTGCTGGCATGGTTGTTTTTTCTTTTTTTCTTTTTTTAATTTGCCTCGCTGAAAGTTCACTAGTCTTAAAACCAAAAGGCAAAAAAAAAAAAAAAAGTGTATTTTACATAAAAAATGCAAGTGTAGCATTGCAGTGCAGGGCTAGTGTGCCATAACCTCACTCTGACTGATGAAACATCTTTAGGGTAACATGATATGATTGTGTGGATCCTGCTATGTGTCTGGAAGCTGAACGCTGCTTCATGAACTGCACTTGTTTGGCAGTGATGCCCCCTGCTGGCTGTATTTGATCTGTTGTAACAGTCATTGGGGTTTCGATTATTAAATTTCCACTTGCATAGTGAATCTGATGCTGCCGTTGAATAGTGAATCAGTGTTGCACAAGTCTTTTTGTTACTTAGTGTCTTCCTCTCCCCAACAGTGAACTGAGATTGCTCTGAAATAGCTGTACTGTGTATGAAGTCTCAAATCATGTTCTGATTTGAATATGAGATGAAATAAAGAAAAAGTGTTTGTTTGGAGTCTAAGATTTTTAAGTGTTTTTGAATTATGCTCATCAAGCCTGCAATTATTTGATGAAAAATACAGTAAAAACTAATATTGTGTAATCACAGTTTCAAATAGTATATTTTTGTATTTTAATAGATTTAAAATGAATTTTCAGCATCATTACTCTAGTCTTCAGTGTCACATGATCTTCAGAAATCATTCTAATATTCTGATTTTGAAGAAACTTTTCTGATTATTATCAGTGTTGAACACAGTTGTGCTGCCCAATATTTTTGTGGAAATCGTCTATTTTTGTGGAAAACTTGAATGAAAAACGGCAATTATTTAAAATAGAAATATAGAAGTCTGTCACTTTTCAATTTAATTCAAATTTAATGCAGTAAACTTCAAAATAATTTTATTTAAAAAAAAATCCTCCTGACTTCAGTATTTTGAATGGTACATGTGCAATTACACAAATGTGTTATTTTACTATTTTCATGTGCATTATTAAATACAATTAAAATAATTTCTTTAAAAAAAAACTATCTTTTGATTGGTCATTTATATGTTTATGTAATACACGTGCGTTTACACAAATGTGCATTATTAGAATCTAGATATTAGCACTAAAAATAAAACCGATTTTGATTAAAACAGTAGAATTGTAATGCAACACAGTAAAAACAGAAACTTGAATGGAGAATACGATGAATGTTTGTTTGCGTGTGTTGAAGTGATACTGTTGCCGTGGTTTCCAGGCCAAGCCCATTGTTTGAGGGACGCTCATATTGCATCTTTCCCAGCTTAGATGCAAATGTCCATTGTTTTATTTCACAGGCATGAATAAAAGAATGAGTTACCTGCTTCAGCACACTCTGGCTGCAAACAGGAGAATGATGTTTCTTTTTTTGAATAACCAGCCCATATGCATGCTTCTGATTTTTGTTGTGACAATCCGCCTTAACCACTTCCCGTCTCCGTCTCTCTTTCAGAATGCCAAGTCCTTGTCCTCCTCAGACAGCCTAGCGAAGGTGCAGGAGGTAGCAAGCTGGCTTTTGGAAATGAACCAGGATCTGCTGTCGGGGGGCAGCGGCAGCAGGGCGGCCCAGCAGCAGAGGCCTGGGGCAGGTAACAGCACCTCCGGCCGCGCACCCCAGCCCCAGGCGGAGCACATGAACCGGGTGCTGGAGGAGCAGGAGCAGGAGGCGCAGCAACAGAGAAGAGAAGCAGCCGAGGAGGAAGAGGACGGACGAGAGCGGCCGAGGGATCAAGAGGAGGAGCCGTGGCCTTCCGGAGCCGAGCCGGTGGAGGAAGGACGGAGGAGTGAGGTGAATGGAGCCGAAAAGGGTGCCCAGTGGATGTGGGAGCAGGAGCAGCACCGGCGGCGTAGACGGCATCGCGAGGAAGAGGAGGAGAACGAGGAGGAGGAGGAGGAGGGGAATAATAACGGCGGAAGGGAAGGGCAGGTCAGAGCGGGACTTCGTTCAGACCAGAACGAAGACGATGAGGAGGATGGCGAGGAGGAAATGGACCAGGATAGCGATGAGTTTGAGCATTCAGAAGAGAGTGGGAGGGAAGAGGAGGAGGAGGCTGAAGATGAGGAGGAAGGAGAGGAAGGCCTCCACTCTCCCTCCCTCAGGACCGCTGTGACGGACCTTAATGATAACACAGACCAGTCCTCCGGACGACAGCACCAAAGCTCACCCTCGTTTTGCAAGAATAAGGTAAGCGACCAAATGTAACTTTTTAAAGTCCAAACAGAACTATTCTTCTGATTATGTTTAGTGTAGTGACAATCTAATGCGGGCAGAAGTTTAATGGGCTTGTGCAGTCATGTTGTTTGTCTCCCTCTACTGGCCATTTTTGACTTTACATCAGATAAACTTGATTTTGATCTTAATTTTATGGAGTGATTAAGGAAAGCTAGAACCTTATCATTCATAGCCCAGACATTACGTACCTAACTAAAGGGAGGAATATGCTTTCAAATAAAGGTTGGTTTGATAATTTAATATGTCAAGTTTTGGCTTGCATTGAATGTGTTCAGGAGCATCTGGATTAGCTTTTGCTGTTTTTCACTTTAAAACTGAATTCTTCTTTGGTTCTGACATTCTGTGATTACTTGGGTGATGGAAGTTCTTTCAGCCGAACCCTTTTAACAAAATATTTTCTTGAAGTACCCACTTTTAAGTTCATATTTCAATTATATAAAAATTTGCATGTTCACAGACATGCAGGGAAAATGAAATATAAATAGATTATTTAAGCTAAGTAAGTGTTTTATGTTAGTTAAAAAAATGACATTTTATTATTAAGATTTATTTACAGTACAGGGCTGCACAATTTGGTCAAAATTATATAATTTTGTCATTATATTGCGTTTTGAATTGCGATATGATAAGCATTTATGCTCATAATAAAAATGTCTTATTGCTGCAATTTAAACATCCTGACCTTTTTTTTTTTATTATTAGATTATAATAATAATATTTATAATGTTATTTTACACTACATATTACTATTTTTTTACTGCCTTTATTTTCAAATATTAAAACCTCAAGCATTTATTTTGGTGGATAACTGCAGGGAGAGCTTAAAGTCTGTGTTTAGTTGACGACAAACGTATAATGCTTTGTTACAAACCTGACGTTACAAAAAGTGCTGTAACTTATTTCCACAAGAAATGTGAAAATGTGATCCTGGTGCACATTGCATTCCCAAGTGCACTTTATAAGTGACATGCAGAGCAGCATTTACCATGAACTGAACGTTCAATTTCATTATGCAGCTCTTTTAACTTATTTAAATTTTTGCCTTTTTTATGATTTTTGATTAATTATTAGCATTTCGTCAACTTTTACAAATCTCTTCCATTTGAAGAAACCGGAGTTCCAAATATCATCTGCTGCATAAGTCGTATGTTTTCTTCGGGTTTTGTGGAAAGAGTCTGCAGATCTGGTCTGGGCCTGTCCGTGTCAGCAGGCTTGTATTATGCAGAAAGTTGCCTGTTATTACTTGTCATTGACCTCAAAAGGAAAGCCTTTGCGCTTTATTTATCTGGACTGGTTGGTCAAATATGCTTAAAGGTGCCGTATGTAATTTTATGACTGTAATTTGATTGATTTTATGACTTGCAGATATTTAGAAAACGTGCTAAGTTCACATACTTGTTTCTCTGAAAAACAACGCTACAGCCAGTTATTCTGCTTTAAATTGTGCGTTCCGTGTCGGAATGTCTGGTTTTGTTTTGGTCTGTGTGACTCCGCCCACTTCCAGTTTAACCAATACGATTTCCACACCCCGGGTTGCCAGTTGGTGGAAAACACAGCGTATTGCAGCCATGGAAGCCAGCAAACAAGTCAGAGATCGCAGATTCTACCTGACCTAAAAACCCTCAACATCCATCTGAAAAGCTCTGTGACCAGAGGAATATTAAAACACTGATAAATCAACTCATCAGCTTACAGTGTAAGGCTCGTTGCCTTCCATTGTCACTTGCGCTCATTCCTGTTGCGTATCCTTAATCTGGCAACCCGCGTGAGCATCGAGTCTGAGGACGAGGTGCGGGAGAAACAATATTTTGAATTTGGACTGCAGTACCCATTTCAACCACTAGCTGTCAATATCACATACTGCAGCTTATTAGTATGAACACAGTCAAGTACTTCATCTGTATAGATACGCGTGCGTATCTGATGTTCATGGGGCTCAGTCAGAAGTGACCTCTAGTCTAAACCCATTCTGATTGGTCGCTGACTTACTGACTCTCCAGCCAATGGTTATCATTCTGCAATCACCATAATTAATGAGCCGCGTGTCTGTGGCTCTCAGACGTGTGGTCCAGGTTTATTGGATCACTAAATGGAAACATCAGAGGCCTTAGACTTTCACACCACGAATGTGTGTGGTTTTTTTGGAAAGCCATGTGGCACACAAGCAGTTTCTTCCAAACGTTGTGTACTTTACCGGTTGGCTTGAATCAAAAGAGAGAGATTGGGTCTGTGTTTGAGCAAAGAGGAAATACAAATGAGTGGAGATGGAGAAGAGCGAGGGGAGGGAACGCGAGAGCACGCAGACCCTCCTCATCCTCATGATGTCGACACGCTTGTCATCGCGCTGACAGAAGACAACCGTTCCTGTCTGTGTCTGAGCCGAGTCTCTCTGAGCCGTCATGGGGAATCGCGGTCTGAAGAAGGTCGCGCTGTTTCTGGTGAGTGAATCTCAGGAGAACATCTCATCACGTCTGTGAGTGGAGCCGCCTTTTGAAGCCGCTGTGTGTTTGAGATGAGAACATGGTGTTCATCTGACTGAGGCTGAAGTTCGCAGTTCGCCACGTGAGCCTTTTCAAAAGAATGTGAATGTTTTGTCAAGGTTTTTTTAAACAGCATTGTGGCTCAAAGCCTAGTGAGCTGAGGGATGGGGTCAAAATGTTTGACTAGCTGACCTTGCTAAGTTTTAGATCGTATTTTCTATGTTTTTTTAAAGCAGTAGTGATTTAATTAGCCTGTTGACAGTGTGCTTGTGCTTTAGTTGATTTCAAACGGGTCTCTGGGCACACCAGGGGCCGCAAGAGGGTGCTAGGGGTCCACAGAAATGTTTGAAGAGAAAATGTGTAGTAATAATAATGATAAACAATAATTTATTAGAATTTAGTTTCATATGAATGAAATGCATGTCAGAAATATTGAGATTAAGCAAAGATTTGATTATAAATTATATATTTTTGACTCTTTTGTCTTCAGTTTTATACAACTCAAACTAAATAAGTAAATATTTCATATTTATAATATTTTAATATAAAAATATTAATCTGGAAAATGACCAAATTAAGACTATTTTAGTACACACAAAAAATCCAACTTGCAAAGTTCTTCTAACAAATGTAAAAAAAATAGCTTGAACAAAGATTTAGGATGATGAATTGTGAATTGGAACAAGATGTTTCTAACAAAAGTAGTTTACCTTACTTAGATTAGAGTCATCTGAACATCTGGTTTTATTCTGCACAATGTTGTGCAAGTTCCCAGCATGCATTGCACCTTCAAAAATGGATAACTATTGTTGAAAAATAATCACTTCAGAATGATTTTACTGGTTTATTTTATGCTTCTGCTGCTGCACTGTTAGTTTGCTGTCAGATGGTTCAGAGTTCATATTTTTATTGAATTAACATTTGTTGATTACCATGTTTGAGATTTGGGACCATGGACTCAAAGTAAAAAAAAAAAAAAGTTAGCTCTTATATTTATATTATTTTATTTTAAGTCTATGTCTTTGGCTGTTTTTTTTGAGCATCTTACACTATGAGTGTTGCATTATGGCGAGTTTAAAAAAGTAGTTTGAAAACTTAAAAAAAACTTGTTTCTGTACTATATGTTCTGCTCTGTGCGTCTAGCTGTTATTTAATGAGCTTCGAGTCGTAAGTAGACGTCCCCCATCACCCCAATTTTGAGTATGACATTTGAAGTCATTTTGAAAAAAATCTACCCTATTTTTTTTTTGCTTTAGTGTGACTTCTAGACTCAACGGTACGAAGCGCATCTGTGGCTAGTGTCCTGCTCCTCTTGGCTAATCAAGATTTGATTAAGAACGTGAATAGGGAATGCTGAACCTTTGTAAATAAAGTCGTTCTTAAATATTTTCTTTGAGGAAACGTTGTTCCAGCGTGTTTGATCTCTGCATTGGAATTATGCATTCAGAGCTTTTGCAAATGTTGAGCTCTTGAAAAGGCTGTGATAGAAATAACTGTGGCCTTTAATGCCAAATTTGTATTCATAAGCAACATCCTGTAACTAATAGTGTTTGCGTTAAGCTCAGTAATGATTGAATTCCCTCATGCAGTGTAAGACAACAGAATAAAGAAGTGAAGCACTGCGTTGACAGCAGTCAGTCCCTGAAGTCTTGTCCTCAAGGTTGATTTAGCAGGACTGAAGAAATGAACGTAGATCAGTTCCATATAAACAGACATGTAATGGTAGAAGGTGAAACCTGACTGCTTAACTTTTAAGCTTGAATGTCTCTCTTTCCCATTTGGTTCCTGATTAGCAACATTTAAAAGTGTTTTTGTCACTCCAAAGGACTCAAGAATTGTAAAGTTTTTTTTTCCCCTCTAAGCTGTGTAAATTCATAGCTAGTCATTTGTGAAGATAGATTCCGATTAGATAATGACAGCATCCACATTTGATTTCAACATCCAATAAGAAAAATAAGCAAAATTTGAAAAATAATTTTGTTTTTAGTTGAAGTAACTTTGCTGTCTAGCCAAACACTAAAAGAAATTGTCTGTTTTCTTTCATTTTTAATTGCATCAACTGTGCATAACCAACTTATACTGTATAAAGGTACTACGATTTGTTTAGGTAGGCGCATGTTGTTGCTTTTTTCTTTCATTTAGTTCAGAGACCCCAAAAAAAACACACACAGCTGCAAAAGCTTGTCTTAAACCAGTGACTTTGCATTTTGCAAATTGCTTAGCTGGTTAGAAAATGTGTCTGAGCACCTGTGTGGAAAAGAGTGCTTTAAAATGTTTGGCATGCCTTTCGTCAGCGAGACAGATGTAGGTAGACAGGCTCCAGAATTAAACTCTTTATTATGCCAGCAGGGAATGTTAAAGGAATGTACTGACCAGAATTTTTTATTTTTTTATTTTATTTTATTTTTTAAATTTTTTAAATTTTTATTTAATTTTATTTAATTTTATTTAATTTAATAATTTCTATTCAAT